TCATATTGTCTGGTTTGCATCCTCGTCCTGCTCTTCTCTCTCCCCTCCCCTGCCCAATTTATAAAAATAAACTTTTTGAAATTTGGAGGAAAGTTGCTTTTTAAATTATGGGATGTCGCATTTATTTTTTATTTATTTGCACTACACATGCATGAATACAAAGGCATTTATCTTGCCCATTGCCATGTATTGTTCTTTGAATGACAAGAAGCTGAGCCAAGAACCCCAAAGATTATAAAAATATGTAGTTACTCTCAGCTCTGTTTGAACATACTGAAAGGTGTTGAAATGAGATCTGAGATGATTATTTCAGAGGAACTGGTGGGAATAAGTCCTAAAGGCAATGTTTCGAAATGAAAATCAGCATAGACAAAGGCATTTGGGAAAATATGATATATATCATGATATGAATGATGTACGGTACATCATTTATATTATGTGCTCAATGACATCAGGAGGCATATGATCTCACTGAATGCCTATGACTGTAGAGATATGTAAAAATATAGGTTAGACTGCATGTTATCCCAATGAATGAGGTTGGCAAATACTCCTTTCAAGGAATAAGTATTAAAATGACTGCATGATCCTCAGTCAAGTTGTCATGCTTCAGAGATGGAAGATTCTCCACAAGGAGCAGGCATTTTCTACTTTAAGGCTGAACAAAGATCCTCTATGGTTGGTCTGTGAAATAGAGCTATCCCTCCATCTTTCCACTATTACATGGAACCAATATACATTCATATTAAGCTTAAGAGGGAGAAATAGGTCTGAATTTTTCAATGCCATTTTACCCCATAGAAACCTGGGCAATATGTCAAGAGATTCTAACTCTATCTGCAAATGCCAAACATTAAAAAAAAAAAAAATTCAAGTACTGTCTCCAGACCAGTGAATTTCAAACTCCAATTGGAATCTCTGAGTTCTCCCAACACTTCTAGGGTTTTCTCACTGAAAAATATAATCAGTTTTCCCCTGTGGCGAGCTCAGTTCACTTGGGATAACAAAGCTTTGACAATACCACAGAATTTTCTGAAATGTAGAGAAGATTATTTGGCCAAAAGTTGCAATGGCTTTTATAATAGTATGCCATTCACAAAGTTTTTCAGAAAGGCTGAACAAGATTGCTGCCCAATGTACTGAAAGGTTTGTACTTGTAGGTAAATACGCCATTTGCTATAGTTTGGGTCCAAAAGCAATTTAACTGCATAATTTCAGTGTTAACTCAAACTGAACCTAAAGTACGGGGTATAAAACACAGAACAGAATCCCATTCACTACATATTAGCCAGCTTCTAACAAATATTTGGCCATTTGAAAAACAGAGTAATACAGTTTTAAACATTTAGTGTTTAGAATATTTCATGCAAATTGAAAAATTTCATATCTTATTGTGTTTTTTGTAGAAAAATGCATTGCAATCCTGGGTATATTTTCTCATAAGTAAATCTCACTGGATCCAGTGGGGTTTGTTTCTAAGCTAATGCTTTAATCCTTAAACAATTTCCAAAGACTTGCTTTTTGAGTGCATCTGAAGGTCTGTAGTTTAGATCAAATTTGAAAATGGGGTTAGAGAATTGAAGCAAACTGGTCTTTCGGAAATTCTCTGTGGATCTGTGTAAAAAAGTATAGCTTCATAATTATGCTTATAAATTACAACATCTCAGTCATTCAGAAATAACAGCAAGCAGAACGGTCAAGAAATTAGGCCGTCTGTATCTGATGGGAGAGATGAGAGAGATTATAAAAGAGTTTTACTCAGCCTCATGCTGTCCAGCTGTTTAGGACTACAAGTCTCTTTCTCCCCCAGCAGTATGGCCATGTTGGCTAGGGATGAAAAGGAGCTGTGATCCATCATTTTGGGGGGTATCAAGCTTTGGGGTGATGATGCTCTGTTGGACTGTAATGTCCCTACGAGCACCCGATTGGGAAAAGCTGTATATAAACCCTTCCAGCTTGAGTTTCCCTTTTATTCCCCTTTGCCTCAGAGCTTCTAAGGTCTAGCTAACTTTTTTGAAGGCCAAAGGAGAGTGTGCAAAAGCTGGTCTCCTGCATCACCGTCACAATGCATCCACAGATAATGCCAATCCAGTGCAGTCAGTCAGTTGAAAAGGTATCGAGCTTTATCGGTTAGCACAACAGACATTATGGTGACTGTTAGCCGTGAAATAAAAATCTTGGGAGGAAAAAAATGACAGGTCTAGACAAAATAGGAAAGAGACATCACACTGACAAGGAAGGTGCATATTGTCACATCATGGTTTTCCCACTTGTAACATATGGCTGTGAAACCCGCAGATCATCAGAAAGGCTAAACAAAGGAAAACAGATGCTTTTGAAATGTGATACTGCAGGAAATTCTCACCAAGGATACCTTATAGAGTACCAAATAAAAAACAGAACATTAGGAATTAGATAAATAAAACCATGCTGCTCAATGGAGCACTAAGAAGAAGATCCTGATGCTTCAGAAAATCAAAGACAAGGTGTCTCGATGCCATCACGGATAACACATACAGAACCTTACAGAAGAATTCAAAGCTTACAGAAGAATTGAAAGCAGCAGCTGCTGCTGACACGTTATCCTAGCAAAAGGAGGTTCATCAGGTCACTAAGAGACCAAAGTGACAGCAAGCCAACTTCCAGAATCCAACCATAGTTAATGCTTCCATGGCGCGCACGCGCACTTTCCTTTCGGGTTCCACCCGGCTCTTAAAGCTCTGAAGACTTGGATGATGTCATCCTTCTGTCCGAAATTGAGTGGGGAGAAGAGGCAAGAGACAGAGAGGCGCTTGCGCATGCTCAGGGCGAATCAGCGACGCTCCGGGTGACTGTGGAAGCCGCGTAACCAATGGGAAACGCCCTTGACGCACGGCCCCGCCCCGCTCTGCCGCCCGGAGGACGAGGTGCGCCTGCGCGTGGGAGAAAAAAATTTGAACTGAGGGCGGTTGAACGAGGAATTAGTCGCGGCGGTTGTTGGGACAGCGCGGTGGCCGAGGTAGGCCCTGAGGGGGCTGG